AATAACTATATAGATATTGTTAAAATATTGACGATTTGGATATATACTATATGTCCTACATACGTTAAAAAATATTATAATTAACTGGATATATTATTTGAATATTGGGTTAACACTGGAAAGAAACTGGGTTTAAATCGGTCCGTACTACATTTAAAAATAGACAAGCTATCCGAGTTGCGGAGTGATCGACCATGTTCACTGAGCCTTGAATTAGGTATAAGTGCATTGAGTTTGTTATCACTATTTAACTTTATCTTTTGGAAGAGATTAAAGCACAGACGTTGTCTATTTTCATCCAGCCCCACGCAATCTGCAGCAGACAGTGCTTCTCTGTACGATAAACTTGGGTAAATTATTCTTAGAACTCTCCTCTGTAACCGTTCAATTTGGTCGCTAAGATACGATGGTAGGTTTGTGTGCCAAACTGGCCAACAGTACTCCAAGACCGAACGAATAAGTGCAATATAAATTGTTAATAAATCATCTGCGGTCATACCACTTTTCTTTAAGGTGCGTATAATGTGAAGCCGCTTAGCTGCTTTCTTTGTAATCATTTTAACATGATCAGCCCATTTTAGCGAACTATTTAATACGATACCAAGAACCTTGTGGCAGTCAACAACATCTATTGCTGTTCCGTCAATAGTTAGCGGTTCTAACATAGGCGTATCACGGAAGAAACAAGTCCTTAGCTCTTTACATTTTTTCACGTTTAACTTCATATAATTTGCGGAGGCCCAACAGGATATATAATCAAGATCTGACTGGATTGTTGAGTTGCCATGTTTGGGTATGACTTCAGAAGCAGTGAGATCATCTACATATTTCCAATAATCGCATGTTGGTAGGGCGAGATCATTGATCATAACAAGAAACAATAAAGGGCCCAATTTTGTGCCCTGTGGGACACCAGCGTTCGCCGTGAGCCATTCCGACAAAGATTTACCCAACTTAACCCGTTGTTTACGATTTGACAAGAAACTGCATATCCAGGGCAAAAGTGACCTTCATACTCCCAAAAGGAACAACTTGGTGATCAAGATGTTAAGGTTAATGCGGTCAAAGGCCTTGCTAAAGTCTAAGAAACAAATTCGCAAATACTGACCGGGCGTGTCCAGATTTAAAAGCCAATTATGAAACATGTCCAAAAGGCATAGAGTTGTAGATGTGCCCTTTGTAACGCCGAACTGTTTATGATCTATCTTGTGTACGATATCTTCAAGAATCATTTCTGCTACAAATTCCTCCATTATTTTAGAGATGCAGGGTGTTAAAGAGATTTGTCGTAAGTCGCTTTCCTCTTTCGGTGGTTTTTCTTTAGGGATTGGAATAATATTCGCAGATTTCCAAGTATCAGGAACGATTCCAGAAGATAAAGAAAGGTTAAAAAGATCAGTAATTGGTTCAGCCAGTCCATGAGCGAATTCTTTCAAAAGACGCGGTGGAATATTGTCTGGACCCATTGCTTTATAAGGGTTGAGCTTTTGTAATTTCATACAGACTTGATAAGAATGTATCACCGGTACTTGCTCAGCCACTGGCAGAAATGCTGGTAACTCGTGAATATCAAGGGGAGGAATATCTGCATTCACCGCGATATAAAATTCATTTAAGGAGTTTACTAATTGATCGTCCGTCAAAGTTACTCAATTCTTTTCGAAATGAATTGGCGCTATATTATTAGATTGACCAGATATTCGCTTGACAAGTTTCCACCAAGATCTAGTATCGCTCTTCTTCAGATGTTGAACTTTATCTGCATAAAACTTCCGTTTTCTTTCTATTATCTCTAATCTTACTTTGTCTCTATAGTGGTGCCAAAGATTTGTATTTCCACTGTGAAATGCCCGTTGCCGTAGTATAATCAGATTCTTTAAGGATGTTGTCATCCAAGGCTTATCAAAAGGATGTAGTTTGACAGTTTTCATAGGGAAAAATTTATCTATAGCTGCCAAAATATTTGAGGTGAATGCACTGACGAGCTCTTCTATGGTAAGGTTTTGACCATCGACAGGCCAGTCTTGGCGAGTCGCCCACCGGCCAAAAGCTTCTCGCGCGGACTGTGGAAAGCACCGATAAAGTCGTTTACTGGCAGTCGTTGATATGTTAACATGTGCATTAATTCTGGGGAGCCATTTCACTATTTCATGGTCTGACGTGCCGAGGGGGGCAATTGTTGTTGGAATATTGTAAAATGGATAAATATTTGTTATTATTAAGTCTAAAATAGCGGAACCCCTTGTGGGAGTGGTTACCACTTGAGACAAATTGTGGCAGCTAAGTAACTCAGAAATATCTAAGTTGTTAAAATCGCCTAACAGAACGATGCCACATTCTGGGTGCATATTTCGAACAACATCCAAAGTTTCAACTAGGTACGCTACAAGGTCGCGTTGCTCTTGTATAGGCTTGTCAGGAGGGCTGTAAACAATTCCAATTATTATCCCAGTGATAGATCTTGGGAGGCGAAAGGGTCTTATCCATACCCACATACATTCATACATACGATTTTCGAGGTCGTCACGTCGCCTGGAAGGGATGGTTTCTGATACATAAGCACAAACTCCTCCTCCTCTACCGCATAGTCTATCACGTCGAAAAAAGTTATACTTTGGGATTTGTAGGAGATTATTATCAATACCGTCATGTAGCCATGTTTCAGAAATAGCTACAAAATCAGCGACATTATGTTGTAACAATAAGTCAAGTTCATCCACCTTTGAGAGAAGGGATCGCACATTAGCAGACAAAAAATTCGGTAGTTGCGACCTCGTAGTAGCTGGAGTTGCTGGTTTAATATTTATTAAATTAGAAGGATTTCTAAATCTTTTATTATTAACCATAGGGGAGTAACGTGATATAGAACAGTGGGACTTTCGTGAGGTTACCCGAACCGGGATATGATGATTAATACCATTATTTACTATCGTAATGTCGCACGGACAAATGTCAGGTAATCTTGCCAACTTGAGTCCCATTTCCGTCTCCAACAAAAATCCCGATCATGCATTGTGGGCTTACTTTTAACTGATCTTTTCAGCTGGTTGGTTTGATTTTGTTTAGTTCGTAGCTGTTGTTGTACGAAACGGGTTGTATGAGGTGGAAACTTGGGTACATTTATTTCGATTACATTAGGACCTCTGGGTTGGCTCTGGTTAGGTGGGTAATTCTGATTTTGGGTAGTCTGGTTTACAGGTGGTATGCCTATTTGTCTACGATGTGGAGGTTTTTTCTTCTGTGGGTAAGTAGTTGTTGGCTTATATATGCTTGAAAGACCCTTTCCATGCTTTTTACGGTGGTCAATAGGTTCTTTGGAAGGACTACTGGATAGATTACGCTTTTGAACGTGAGCGTTTTTTTATAGGACCTCTTATAAGCTATCACGCTTGTTTGCCTTCGATTATTAAGTCTCTCCTGTTGGTGACTTGATGGGGTTGTTTGATTGAATAAAAATACATTCAAAGAGAAAAATGCAAAAACCCAACTTGATGAAGAGAAAGTAAAGACTATATGTGGTGAGTTTTTTAATAAATATCAGGGCTTAAGTGGTGAGATTTGTTCCATATTATTTCTTAGATATGTAACTTGCTTGAAATCAATGTGAAAATTCCCTACAATAACTGTTGATAGAGGGGATATTTATCAGTGTATCCGGCATATCCCTAGGGGCTATTTTCAGCTTCTATTGGATCTAAATTGAATTCTTTCCATTTGTCATGTAGAATATGGCTCAAAAAGATTTGGGTGTAAAGTTAGTGATGTCAAGAAAATGATGACAGCCAGGATAAGTAATGTAGTACAGGGGAATTCAAAAATCAGACTGATGGAAAGTAATACGTTTTGGTAATATTTTTTGTAATATAAGTATGATATAACGAGCAATTTGATTGGCTACCGCGCGTGCATTGTGAGGCCATAATGCACGCTTCTGGCTTTGAAGTTTTTGTTGCTAAGCAACATCTTAAATAACATGTAAGGAGAATTTCATTATTGATCAAATAAATAAATTTTGTTGTTGCCCTATAATTTCTTCTTATATTATAAAAGAATTAAAAAAGCTCGTCGCGTGCCTTTATGGTGTAATAATGCACTCGGGGAAATGTTGGAAGAATACTCGAGAAGCTTGTAAAACACTCGGCTACGCCTCGTGTTTTACAAGCTTCTCTCGTATTCTCCCAACATTCCCCCATCGTGCATTATTACACCATAAAGGCACGCGACTCGTTTTTTAATTCTTAATTAAATGATCCAACACTGTTTGTCTTGCACGCAAGCTAGTAGGACTTGATTTTTATTATTATGTTGTATTATAGATGAAATCTTAGGATCAATTTAACTTGGAAGTAAATAAATTTGCTATATTTGGGAACATTTCATTTGTTTGTGTCTCTCACTCAGACAGAAAAAAGTTTTCACTATGTTATTAGAAAGTTTTATTTCAAAGTGGAAACATTGAATATCTCTGCATAAGCATATTTAATAGAATATTTAATAGAATATTATATCTCAACTGTAAATCATCCAATCAGAAAGCGCGATTTGTACCACGTGATCAGTAAATTAATCATGGAATTCTATCGAATTTTCTCACATTATGCTATAAAAGTCGGATACCCCGCTGCAGCGGTTAGCCCGCCTATTTAAGCTTCATATTGTGCTAAAATATGTTCATGAAGAAAAATTTCTAATTTCTATATAATATTTTTCTTTGTTTTGGTAAAGCTGTTTTGTGAGTTGATCGCCCCACGTGTGTCACGCAAAACTACGCTGGTCCCGCGTGGTCGGAGATTACGTAAGAATAGATACATAGGGCATACCAACGCATCCTCACTCTAAGAATACCTATTATAGGTATATGTCAAATGCCGTAAGAATATGCATAATACATAGCTCAAGCCTCAAACACTTGTAGGACCCAGAGCCCAGAGATTGGTCCGCGTGATGCGCATACAATTTATTAAATTAAATACTCTGCGCATATGGTAATATCACACAATATGGCGGCTGCCAAAGAGTGCGCTAAATCGTCAAAGCGGTCATCACAACAACGGCTTTCCTTGGAGGCTAGTTTAGAAAACTTACGCGAATTAACCGGTACAATAGAGAAAAAAAAGACCCCAAAGCAGAGCGACTTCTTCCTCACGTACGATAGCAGTGGTAAAAGAATACGTGATTCCAATTACAAATACCGCTCTGTTGCTGAACGCAAAAAAGCAAAAAGCGAGCTACCTCTGGCCAAACTAGTAGTGTTACTGGTAAATTAATCATAATATTTGTAAAATATCCGCAATATATATATATATATATATATATATATATATATATAATTATATATATATATATTGTGTGATAGCGCTGTCACAGTAAATAATTATTGTATCTTTAGAGAGCGACGACGTTGACCTTTGCCCATTTGAATCAGATAGTGGTTTTGATTTTGACATCATTACTGAAGAATCATCTGATGTTTCTCTACAAAGAAGTTAGTCTCATCCCTATATACCGTGATGTTTCATTTATTACTACTACTTATTACGACTACTACTCAACGCTGGCGTGCAAGCATTACTGTGCAATTCATATGCAAAGTCTATTATTTATAATTTGTAGAAAATTTGACCACCTGTATAGCAAATTGTGAAAGTTTGACTCAAGAAATGAAGTCCAGTACCCAGTCCATGTGGACAAGAAGAATGCAGTCTGTGGATGCTGCATGGGAAAATAGTAGATCTGCTATATTTGCTGCTGTTTTAAAAAGTCAAGCAATTCCTAAAACTGGGGCTGTTTGCTTCTTGTGCGGAGAAGACAGAGCTGTTGTTCGGTGTCGCCACTGTGGACCAGATGCATTACTCTGTAACAATTGTGATGAGACAGCTTATGAGAAAAAACCTTTGCATGACCGTGATATTTGGATAAATGGATTTTATCAAGCAATTCCTCCAACTGAAACAGTCCTGCCAGATGGATCTCCAAGCTTCAACAGTAAGTGATTATTGTAAATTTATTAATTCAAAAGTTATCATTGGTTTGTTCAGATGCTGACTATATTCTTGATAATCTTGTTCCAGAGACTATGAAATATATCAATTATAAATATTGCTATGCATGCATTTATTTTTTATACAATCATTTCAGGTAAACTACAAGTACTGGTTTAGTAATCTTATACTGTATAAAATAGACTGATTATTACATTTTTTACAGGAAAATATCCTCCATTTTTATTTTGCAAAGAATGTATTTATTGCAAGGGCCAGGATACACTTTCTATCATCCCCTCTAATGAAATGTGCATTCTTATAACAGCCAAAGGTACGAGTTGAGCTGTGTTGTACAGTGCTGTGCACTACATCATGTGCTCTAAAATTGTAGTTACTATCAGCTTATCTTGATTTTCAATGTTTTCTTGCAGGAAGATTTGATTTGTATTCATTCACATACAGTTGCACTGGATGTGATCAACAGTTCTCACCATTAACACTGGAGAAGATAATTAATGAAGGGTATTGGCCAGGTGGCCCAAAGAATCTTAATTACATCTTCTGTGAAGATGTGTTCAGAGTTTGGGATTCACTGCGAAAGTATATGCCAGGCACATCTGAGACAGCATTTCGTAGGTCCTTGGCCTCCATATCTAGTGAAAAGGGCAGGGTTAGTAAATCATACTTAGGTCACTGTACATAGATCAATCAAATTTTGTACCTGTAGTGGTCTAAAACTGTGCATAATCTTCTTGATCAATTTTTAGTCAGGTATCATCAACGCATCAGTGTTTCATTGTGCATTCAAAGAATGGTGTTTTGCCATGCATGAAGTTGACATCTTACAAGAAAAACAATGGGCAAATTGCCCATCATGTTTTAGATCCCAACATTCGTGTCATGTTGATGGAAACGCTAAACTTTATAGATACAACAGTGTGCCAAGGTATTGTGTTGTTGCCTGGCTAAAATCATACTGACCAAATGTCCATGATTTATGTAATTTGTTTATAGAGGTGAAAGAAAATGCTACTATGAAAATACATTTATTGAAGATGATGAACTGGTAGAGGAGCACTTGAACAATGTTTATTCCAACAACTCAGCTAAGGTATGATCATGATTGTGAGGAATTATGGAGAATTGTGCAATGATAACAGTTTTGTGTACAATAATAATATACCAAAACTTGCATAAGAGTTATACTTATAAATCATATTCAATCCTCCTAGGGTCATTCAAGTAATTCCTATTGTGGTTCCTCTCATTGGAAAGCTGCAAGGAATACGGTCAACCGCCAATCCAAACTTGATGAAACTGGTCTTGTTGTAGCAGGCTGTAGACATTCTCTGGCTCAATCTGCTGTGAATATGCATCAAGGTGAACTGTATGGATACACACATTATTTGCAAATCAACCGACTAATTCACCATAAAGTTAAGTTCTTATGGCAAGATGTGATTTGTAAGTACTGGCCTTGGTTTATTTCGCTTCCCAAAGATTTGTCACCTGATGAAGCCTTTTTGATGGCACCAGCATTATCTATCATGCATGGTAAAGCTCATGTTTGGTCTTGATAAGTATTTTAATAAAACAAATGTTAACCAATTTTAATTAGGAAAATCATTCAAATTGCATACTTATAATGTTCATACCTTTCAGGTCACATGGGGTGGACGTTGGCAAATTGGAAGTGGTTACACTGCAGGTGAAGAGGTTGAGCAAATAAACAGCTACATCTCGAGATTGGGATCAACAACAAAATACATGCATGCAGCATGTACGTAGCTGTTTGAATTTTTAGGTTTCCTGTAAAATGTATTGATTGCGTGTGAATTTGCTGTGGTTTATTGATTATAATGTCTAAATGTTATATTTTTCATCGTTTTCAACACTTTGTTACATTAGACTACTTACCTCTTAATTTCTGAAGACTTACATTTGCCATTGACGGATTAGCTTTTTCATTTATATACGACAGGTCGCAATGAAGCACAAACGGAGCATGTTCTTCACTGGAACAAGTTAAAGATTCTTAAGCTGCCAATCACTCTTTGCAAGGAATATGTTTATGTATGTTTGTTTATTCGTAAATTTTTTTATTTAATAGTTTTTCTCAGTAAACTAAAAATAGACTTTTGATATTTATAATTCAATTCTCTTGTGACAGGTAAAGAAGTTAATAGAAGAAAATAAGAAGGAACTTGATGAGCTGGTAAACGAGCTAAATCTTTCCGCGTATCGTGAAGAGTTCGGTAATTGGGCTGCTGAAATAACAGCGTGTGGGAAACGTACGTAATTATACGCATCTTATTCATTTCAACTTGCTTGATTCAAACGCGTGAGGTGTATCAGGTGGAATGTTTAAAACTCGCAAACTACTATACAGACAGTAGCGTGTACATGCTCTACAATGCCGGTTATACGGCCTAATTCCACGGGCGCCTTTTCTCCGCGAAACGCGAAATATTTCGCCGGTTTCTTTTGAATTTCGACCACTTGAAAAAATTAACTCTGCTTCATTGCTCACAATTCAAAAGAAGCAGGAAAAATATTTCGCCTTTCGCTAGAAATTTTAGCCCGTAAAATTAGGGCTATAGACTAACTATAGTTACCTGTACTTACATTTGTGTTTCCAGGGTCGAAGTTTGAGATGACGAAGCGTGAAGGTGATCTTGTTTCTTACTATGAGCTGTATACCGAAGTGCGCGAAGCTATCGCTTTGAAGCCGTTCCTCGATTTTGCTGGTGATGAAGCTGAAACAGAAATAAACGTCGGGAATTCAGGATTGTATGCTCAAGCCTTGGCAAAACATCAGGAAATGGATAAGAAAGAAAAGAAATTAAGAAACCTTGAATCGACTCTATGTATAGTTGAAAATGAGTTAGGGAAGCAACAAGCCCTGCAAGAGGGGAAAAATCTTTTGGCTGTCAGAAAAAGAATTTCTATTCGCGAAGAGATTGAAATGTTATGCTTTTCTATTTCACAGCAAAAGAAAAATATTAGCCGCCTAGCAGGTTTAAGTATACATTTATTTTAACAGAAACTTTAATGACAGAAACTTTAAACTGTGGTCGTAGTTAATAATGTAAATGTTTTAAATGAAAGTATGTATTTAATATACTGTTGGAATGTTTCAGATTCGTCGAAACAAAGGGCTAGATTGCGTAGCAAAAATGCTCTGGAAAAGAAAAAACTTAGCGATTCCATCACGCAATATAATGTGGTAAATCGGTTGTTAGAAACTGATCCTGAAGAAGATGATATCGCATATATATATGCAAATTTATTATGCAAAGAATCATACCATTCGCATTTGTGCGTTTTCTGTGTTAACATTTGCCATTGTTTCAATAAAATAATAACACGATCAGATGAATTTCGGGTGAATATTGTTCAAGAATTTATATTTTGCCGCTAAATTTGTGCCGCGAATAAATTCCGCGATCAAATTCCGCGATTATGATTATGAATCAATGTAATGAATAATTAACCGTGAATAAACATACACGCGGACCAATCTCTGGGCTCTGGGTCCTACAAGTGTTTGAGGCTTGAACTATGTATTATGCATATTCTTACGGCAACTTCTAGTAAAGTTACTATCGCAAGGGAAGTGCTGGCATCGCAAGTCCATTTATCACATGTTGAAGAAAAACAACGGCTATTATAAGAGGTGGGTGGCGGCTTTTCGGGTCGGTTGTCGTGCGCTTGTCATCACGCGGAAATACAAATCAACACAAATCGTCCTTTGTTTTGACTTCAAGCCCCAAGTTAAACTGCTCAATAAAACGAGTGCTTCGTTAGAAATCGTTAAATTCAGTGTTCACTTGCGGTTTGCCTACGAAGTGGCAAAAACGAAAACTTTCTATGACCGCCATTCGTATTGAATCTTAAAACTCATTGTCATCGGATCAGATGGCATTGCGATTTCTGTGTAAATACTTGACCGATTTTAATAAAAATTTTTAGGAGCCATTTTAAGGAGGAAATTGTCCTCAGGAGATACATTCTTTTTTTAGATCGATATGTTGCCAATTCGCCATAAATAATATCAATTTGAGTTAAGCGCGTGCTTATTGCGTGCTCGAAATGTTGTCATGCGGTTCGAAAGGCGACAAAACTCTATGGTGCCCTCCTCTAGGGTAAATTTGACCCCAAAAATCGATTCCTGATATAAAATTGGACCAAGGGGTCAGTTTTTCGGCTTTTTTTGCCCGATGTTATTTTCGATATTTGTATTATTGTGAAATAGTATTGCCGGTGATGTGATAATTCATATCATCATGCATCTTTATACAAAAAAAAATCGGCAAAAATCCTCTAAAGGCTCGATTTTGACGCTAAAGGTATCAAAATAATCCTGAAAATGTGAACTAAATCACAATAACCGTTTTAGTTTGTATTTTGCGTAATATTTTATAGATTAGGCCGCTTTGATTTGTAATATTGAATAATAAATAAATCGCATGCATTTTAAGCCTGCAGCACACGAGAGCTATCAGCTGAGTTACGGGTTACTCGTACCTGTTATCTCAGCCGACAGCTCACCGTGTGCGGATACATTTTTCTGAGTTTTCTGCCACATGCAACCTTTTCTCGCATATCATACAAGTTTCATACCATTTAAATCGTGCTGAGATATTTAGTTTTTCTTCTTACCGACAATATTGTCGGGTTTAATCTATGTGAGTCAGTGGCGGGTCGCGCGCGCCGGCGTGGCTCGAAGCCAGTTTTTTTGCCCTGCAGGCAATATGACGGAAATAACCTTGCAGGGATTCGCAGACGCAGGTAACTTCCATATATAGAACGCATACCACATATGGTTTTCGCCAGAATGAATGACAAAAATCGAGGTTTCGCCTCAATATACGTGCCCAGACTCCAAGGCGTACACGGCCAACCTCCAGATTAGTGTACTGGTTCGCTGCGCTCGCCAGCAACCAGCAATAATAGGTATTTTAAGAGTGAGGATGTGTTGGGTGCTTCGACCGGTTCGGGGATTACGAGCATTCAATTCAACACAAATATAATTTGGAAGGTTTATTCCATAAATAGAGATAAGAGGTTAGGAAGAAACGACGCTGTGTTGTTTATGCATTGATAGATCCCTTACACGAATATATATTTTAATATGTCGATAGCAAGTCGATACCTGGTCACAGTACATAAATAATACTATACAAAACGGACATTTTGTGCAGTAATCAAATCATTTTGGCGGTATACAGTATTGATTAAAAGTATATTGTTTTGTATCGATTTACGCGTCGAAGTATCCACATCATAGACATAATATGCACCGCAGTTTATTTACATTATTTACAACGCAACTATTTTAGTTATTCTTATGAAACGACGGATAAATTGTTGCCATCATATAAATGTAGTGAATGTAGTCACAGTTGTTTGACGAAGAAGAGACTAAACTGAGAAAATCACGCCTGGTTTACATGGGCAACTAAAATTATAATTTAATAGTGACAGTATCCGCGACTAACGTCACTTGAGTACTTTGAGTAATTTCCTTTTGATTAATATTTAACCTAGTTCTTTATATTTTTACAGGCATAAGTCAAAATGTTCATGTTGGGAAACGTAGGGATAGTATTAATATGGTCGTTCCCGGTGACCTTTTGTTGCGGTGTTTGAGATTCGTTGTTTGGGCTCTTTTGATTTATAGATGTTTTGGTTGTTTTAATTATATGTAAATCGGCATTGTACAGGGTGTATCAAAAAAACGCAACCACTTAATATTCATGATATCCTCTTTGTTCTACAACACAAAAGACGTTTGGCCCCTGGAATGCGAGAAAGCTTGTAATCATATTCTAGCGGCACAATCGTCGGTAAACAAAGTCGGGTGCGTAAACCAACGAGCTGAATTGAAAGTATCTAACGAGTAAAATGTTATTTACAATTTATTTTACAAGGTCGACAGTTAGCATTCAAGTTATCATGCACGACAATAAAAACTCGTTGTTCGGTTGTTAGCTGCACCATTATTAGTTTAGCTGATTTGACTATTAGCAGTTGAACTGTACCATAAGAAGCCATTTTAAAATCCCAGGGGCATAAAATCTATTGAGCTTATGAACAATATGAATTTTAGAAAATTAAGTGTTGCGTTTTTTTGAGACACCCTGTAATGCTGATCGTCAACATCGCTTGTTTGATTGCAATTTTCCCCCTCATTAGGGATTAACTCAACGATAGCGCTATTATTAGTGACCTTTTGTTGCAGTGTCGGAACTTCGTTGTTAGGGCTCTTTTAATTTATAGATGATTTAGTTGTATTAATTATATGCAAATCAGCGTTGTGATGTTGGTCATTTGAGTCTGAATGTAGATTGTTTAATTTTTGATTGCTATTTGGGAAATCATTGTTTCCCACAATAGTCCTACGTGCGCTGCAATAATCTTCCTTGTTATCAGGGGTTTCAAGTATGACCTCGTTTATTTGTGTGGATTCTCCTGCTTCTCCAATACTTTTAATTTTTGTTGAAGGTCTTCAATTGTGACATCTCGATCATATATTGCTTTATTTTTTTTCATCCAAAATAATAGCAAATTCATTCAGCATAGATTCCAATCTATGGTTACAAGATATAGATTATGGTCCCCATTGGGCGCCATAATCTTACTCACGGAATCTACTAGAAATACATGCCACTTCAAAGATTACTAGAAATACATGCATGCAGCAACACCTCGCCATTTTAAACGAAGCAAAATATTTTGTGTGCTACCTAGAATTTTCTACGCTAATATTATGAAATAACTCGTGCAAATTTTTCGGAAACAAAGACAGTCGTAAAGGTGAACAGAAATCACCTGTTTGCCGCTGCATTACGTTGCAGTTTAAGTGAGCGTTAAACTATTCTATAGCTAAACCTTCAAAACATCAAAACAGCACAAATAATTATAATAACCATACAAGCACTAAACCACAGAATACCTATCAGAAGAATAACTCTATACTATTTTTTCGCAAGTGTGATTCGTCATGATTTGTAACTTAGCAAGTGCATTTTTTTGAGGCAGTCACCCCCTGCCAAAATTTAGCAATATGGCGCGCGCGATATAAAAACAACATTCGACGTTTAGTCACAGAATACCTATCAGAAGTAGAACTCCTGTACTTTTTTCGTAAGTGTGATTCGTCATGATTGGTCACTTAGCAAGTGCATTTTTTTGAGGCAGTCACCCCCTGCCAAAATTTAGCAATATGGCGCGCGCGGTATAAAAACAACATTCGACGTTTAGTCACAGAATACCTATCAGAAGTAGAACTCCTGTACTTTTTTCGTAAGTGTGATTCGTCATGATTGGTCACTTAGCAAGTGCATTTTTTTTGAGGTAGTCACTCCCCTGCAAAAATTTAGCAATATCGCGCGCGCAATATTGCTAATTTTTGGCAGGGAGTGACTGCCTTAAAAAAATGCACTTGCTAAGTGACGAATCATGACGAATCACACTTACGAAAAAATAGTATAGAGTTATTCTTTTGATAGGTATTCTGTGGTTTAGTGCTTGTATGGTTATTATAATTATTTGTGCTGTTTTGATGTTTTGAAGCTTTAGCTACACAAAAGTTTAACACTCACATAAACTGCAACATAATACAACAGGCAAACAGGTGATTTCTGTTCACCTTTACGACTGTCTTTGTTTCCGAAAAATTTGCACGAGTTATTTCATAACATTAGCGTAGAAAGTTAGGTCTAGGTAG